TTTAAATATATGTAAAAAATAAAAAATTTGGGTATACATTATATATTATCCATCCGAACCATTTGAAAATTTTGGGATGTCAAGTGATACTCTAATCGAAGGTTGATTCTCTGGAGGGTCGAAGCTAAAAAATTAGAGTTCAAAGTTGAAAAACTTTTAAGAGGTAAAAATACAATTTTAGTATTGTATTAGTTTAAAATTGTATAGTTTTACAAATTATTTTTGGGTTAAATAATTTTATTAACGTATAATTTAAAATAAAAAAATATTAGGGAGTAAACATTAATTTTACCATATAATTATCACTCAAATGTCACACGCTGCTATGAATGTCTAACTGCTTTGGTCTTTTCTTTCAACTTTTAATTCTTAATTTAGAGATGGCGTTTCTGTAATTAAGCTGCATATCTCTGTCTTGATTCAAAACTTTTTTATTTAATTTGCATGAAAATGGTGGCAGAATGGCACGTGACCATTACTCTCCCATCAAGAGATTCTGTTGCCTTTTAAATATACATAGATAATATTTGCTGAGTGAGAGGCAACAGAGATCACGTGACTTGGTGAGAAGATTAGGTTTGCTTTAGGTCACTCTAATTCCCTTTTAGGTTTTACTTAGCTGGCTAATAGTATTAGCGGACCCTTATTCCCATATGTAATGGAGTAAGGGGATGTAAGAGTAGGCTGTCCTCAACGCCAGGTTGAGAACAGCTTCCGTGGAAGACCTCCGGATTATGAAATGCCAATAATGAGTGGAATAATTGACAAGGCTACTCGAGTCTGCCTATTTATAGTATTTATTTTTAGTTTGATGGATTTGGATTGGTTGCACCAAAGGCACGTGGCTTTCTTTCCCTTTGTGTTTTAATGGATTTAATAGGGACATTACTTTTATAAACTTTTCAACTACTTCTTGAGTGGAAGACAAGAAACCCCAAACCCTAAATTTTCTACTTTCACTCTTGGTTGAATGATTAGGGTTTTAGGGGTTACCTGTCTCAATGACACCCCTGGGAATGGAGTTAGGATGGAGTGAAGGATATTAAACCCTAAACCCTAAATTTTATCAATTTCATTTATTAATTTGAGTAATTAGGGTTTAGGGTTACCTGTCTTATTGTATACATCTGGAATGGAGTTAGTATGGAGTGAAAGACAATAAACCCTAAACCCAAATTTTCTTACTTCATGCATGGTCTGAATGATAGGGTTTAGGGTTCGATTGTGGCATCTCGGCAAGTCTCACAGGATACCTTTAGGAATAAAACTAGGATTAAATACCGAGGGGTCATAATTAATTTGACTGATACTTAAATTGATAGAATCTAAAATGTCATTATACGAAAAGAAAAGTTGGGACGGATAGACCCCTCCCAAACTGTACGTGGTTCCGTCGCTGGGTACCTCTCACCATGTTTAGAAACAAGGGGTGATACCGGTCCGATCGATGCCTTGTGTCGTCGAGTTCCCTCCATCATGCTCTCAAATGGTAGCTTAAACAACATTCTGCCCTGTATATGATTACCAACATGTTACTCAACCCAAAAATCCAGATTGGTATGAAACATAATGCATTTATTCGAATTCGAGATCGAGTATCAAATATGAATGCATGAGTGCATACATTGTTCTAAATCTGGTAAAAGTTTAAGAGAAATTGTCATTGCAGTAATTAATTAGATTTAATGTCATCATGTGAATCCCTAATCTTATCTTTTACCTGCTAGACTTGAAAAGCTTGATCCACTTTATTTAATTTATAAAAATGTTCTGATTAATTTGTCTATCGCCATTTATTTATTTATGCTCTGTTTTTATTTGCTTAATCATTATTTATTTATTTATTTATTTATATTTTTTTTTGAAGACACAGGAGGAAGCAGCAGCAGCGTATGATATGGCAGCATTGGAGTATAGGGGGACCAATGCTGTGACCAATTTCGATGCTAGCCATTACATAGACCGTTTGAAGAAGAAAGGTATTGTGTTTGTCGATCAAACGCAAATTCCCGATTCCGACGAAGCTCGACGAGTAGAATCTGTAGGAAACGAACAACTTCAGCACTGCACCAAGAACAAGAACCGAATCACGAGAATCTGAAAAATCTGAACATTTTCAGTACATGCAAATGCAGCTTCTCTTCTGTGCATCGGCTGTCCGACAACAACAATGGCAGGTATCGAGCCTACCGATAGCATGAGCTAGCATGAGTTTCTGCATGGATTTGAGTTGACATCGTTTTTTGGTCCCGGACATCCCTCTCGATGGAACGATGAATTGCCTAACTTGTTCGATCATACTACGGGGTTCGAGGATAACTTCGACCTAGGTCACCTAGCAAGAAGAGGCTGATCGGAAACGTGTACGGATGATGCAACCGAAGCGGTGTTTCCATGAACATGGAAGACGATCATGGGAAGTGAGGCTGTCGTGTCCGTCTTCGGATTTGGATTCTCCGTATTCGTCGACGACCTCGGTTTCCTGTAACTACTGTTTAGTTGTTTGTATTGGAGTCTGTTGTGGAAATCAGTTGTGGATTGGTGCCGAAGATTCAACTTATCTTTGGGTTTTTTTGTTGTTTTTTCTTGTGCATTACTTTGTTTAATTAAATTAAAAGGGGAAAAAAGGAACTTAGACTGTTTTTGTTTGATCCTATAATCTCACCAAGTATATTTTGATTGAATGTGTGGTGTAATGGCAAGAGAATTATCTCAGAAATTCCATTCCCTTTTTTATAAAAATATTAGATCTCTATATATATTTTTAATAAATAGTTGCCTTAATCATTTTAATTCTTTAATTACATTAAAAAATAATATAATTATTAAATTAATTTTTTTAATCTAAACCATAATTTTAATAAACTTTATTTGCATGAGATCAAATTATATATTAATTAATTTATACAAATAACTTTGTAATACCATATATGGCAAGAATACAACACATAGAAAATAACTAAAATATTACATTTTTGAAAAAAAAAAGTTTATATTATCATATGTTTCAAGAAATAAAATGGGTAATTACAATTTTCATCACTTAATTTGAACTATATTCGTGTTTGATCACATAATTTTTGCGCCTAATTTGTCTTCTTCCCTTTTCTTATTCACTAAAAATAGCCTTGTTCTTGACGCCAGAGGTTCACTTCTTTTTGTAATCAAGATAAGTTTTGAAAAATAAGGTAGTGCGTGCTCGCCCCTAACACGTTCATAATGACTCAACTTCAAGATCTCATGGTTTATCAATGGAACCAGAGAAAAATAAAATAATTCAAAGTTGAATGATTAAATTAAAAGTTCTAAAAATCGAGTGAATACAAAAGAATATATTCAAAGTTAAGTGATGAAAGCATAATTCTCCAATAAAAAAGTTAAAAGTAAATTACGTATTTAGTGCTAAACTATCAATTTATCTATTTTAGTACTTAAACTTTCATTTTTTTTTCAAAATCATAAATAAATTTAGTTTTTATTTTACTTTAGTACCCCAATTCAAAATTTAATGTTAAGTGTTAAGATTGTTGAAAAGACTCAATTGAACAATTGAAAAATGTACAATGGGAGTGAATTGGTAAATATTGTTTAGGGAGTAAGGAGAAATAAATTATGAGAATTTTGCATAGCGATTTATAGTGGTTCGACTTCTCAACTAAGTTTACCTCCTACCTTAGCTCCTCACTAAGGATTTTCCAACAAATCCAGTAATTTGTTCTTTCTTTTTCAAGATCAAGAGTAACCTTTACACTTCCTAGTTTTTCACTTGGCTAAACTAGAACCAATCCCCTTTACAAAAGGTAAAAAGAAGTAAACAATAAAACCTCTCTAAGGTAGTGTTTACAAAGAATTTAAAGCTCATAGAACAAAATATTTACAAGAGAATAGAATAAATAGTGAAAACTCTTCTATTGTGTTTGAATATATGCTTGGATTAGTGTTCTAACCCTTCTTCAAGTGTCTTGAACTTGTATTTATATAGGAATGAAGTTGTGGTTGTTTCTAGCCGTTGGGGATTTTTTTCTCTTCAAAAATAAAACTGCCCAGAACAGAGGGTATCGGTACTCCTCTAAGGAGTATTATACTACCTTTTTTATTTTTAAATCAACTAGTCGTTACTTTCCGTTGGGGCCTGATGGTATCGATACTATGCCTGTGGTATTAATACTATGAAAGTAGTATTGGTACCCCTTTGGGTATCGGTACCATTTTTACATTCTGGAATTTGAGCAATACTGGTAGTATCGATACTACCTAGTGAGTGTCGATACTTCCCTAACCTTTGGTATCAGTACCATATAAACAATATTGGTGTTGTTCATGAGGTATCGATACTGTAAGAACAATATCGATACTTCTTGTCCAGAAAAACTTTTTGTGCTCAATTCCAAGTTAAATGGACTTTGAATTATTTTGAAAACTTTGAATAAATTCAATTCAAGTCTAAAACATTTTTCCATAAATTGTTATATCAAAACATAATTCAACATTAAGTTTTGAAACAAATTGAAGTTTAGGTACTAAAAGTACCAAAACTCAGTTTAGGTATTAAACGCGTTAAGTTTTTAACGACGGGCACTAAGATGAAACGAAACTAAACATTATGTATGATTTTGAAAAAAATTGAAGGCTTAGGTACTAAAATAGGCCAAAACTGATAGTTGAGGTACTAAACGTGTTAAGTTTTTAATGGGGAGCACTAAAATGAAACAAAAACTAAACATTAGGTATGATTTTGAATAAATGAAAGTTTGTGTACTAAAATGGATCAAAATTGATAGTTTACATACTAAATGCGTAATTTACTCAAAATAAAAAATACAATTCATTAAAAAAACAAAAACAAAAAATTCAAATTTCAAAAATTAAATCGGCCCAAAGTTGTATTCCTTTCTTCGACACGATGGCTTGAAGCTTATTCAACAGGTTTTGTTGGACCGGTCCAGATATTCGTCACAGATGCATAAAGAACATCTTTAAAGCAAACAAATAGCAAAAAGAACGAAAAGGGCAGAAAAAAAAACCCCGCTATATATTCGAAGTTCAGGCGGTTTTTAAGCTTAGGGGAAAAAATACAAGTTCTCCAGCTTAGAAGTGAACTCAGGTTTGTCCAACTGTCTGAAATTTGAAATTTTTCGCTGAATAATTGGAGATCTGCTGTGGAAATAGATAAACACCAGACACTGATGACGGCGGTGGCCACTGTGGCGGCGGCTAAGGAGTTGAGTCCCGAGGAAGAGAGGGTTTTGATTAGACATTGCCCTTTACCGCTGAAGCTAACACCAAAGAAGGCGATCCCTTCTTTCTCATCACTCAAAAGTTACTATCCTTTTGTCTTTTCAACTCAATTCCCGTTTTGTGACTTCTTTTTTAAGCTATTTCTACTATTTTTTTAACTCTTCTTTTTTCCTGAAAAATAGATGGTGGCAGAACTGGATTGATTATGTGAACCAGGATCAGCAGCTTAATAACAACAACAACAATGAAGGGAGCTCTTCTTTGGCTGGGAATTCGGATTCGAATGGTTCGTGTATCTCGAAAAGGCCTTTGGGAATTGATAATTCTGATTTGATATCCGATGGGCTGGCTGAGGATGCGAACCCGAGGATAGTGTTGAGATTCATGATACTTTATTAGAAGGCCGTGACTATGTTTTGCTACCTCAACAAGTTTGGAACCAACTTTTTTCATGGTTAGATATGATTTATTTGAAATATCTTTGGGTTCTGTTAAGAATTACTTGCATGTGAAATCTTTTGGTAAATTTGTGTAGGTAACTTGTTTCAAGTTAAGATATGAAGTAATACGATATTGAAATCCTTGTTAATAAGTAAATGTTCATTGGCAAAGTATTTGGACAGGCTTGAGGAATTTTTAGACTGAACTGTAGGTGTAGGAGATGATCATCTTTTTGCTAATTGAAATCAGTACTAAGCTAGACAATTCACTGGGATTGTGTTAAATGTATGAACTCCACTTTGGAGTTGTTATGCTCAACTGCTTTACAAGATAATGATCCTTTTATGGATTCATATCAGCTTCAGCATTAAGCTAAGAAAATTTCTCTATGATGGACAATTGGACTCCCTAGCTTTGGCAACTAAGGTGAAGGTTCATTATGCACTGGTTGTAGCCATAATTTTTATTTTTTATCACAAGTTACCTACGTACAAGAAATTTCTGAAGTGTACATCATTTATGGAATTCCAGTATGTTCTTTCGTACTAGAGAAATTGTTAGTATTCTTCTATATCGGGGGTTTCGAACCTATGGCCCAACACAATTTCGTACATCACACATCCACTTATTTTTGTAATTTTATATTTGTACATTTTGTTAATGTGAATCTCTGTGCTGCATACATGTTGTTAGAGAATCTAAGCATAGGATTGATCTTGATGTCAACTGAGGATAAATTTTTCCTTAAACCGCTGATTAATTGTATGTTTTAGGCCTGTTTGTTGTGTGAATGTCAGTTTTTTTTATACAGGGTTAATAATTAAGACGATGCATAAAATCGAAAAGCGTCTCAACTATCATTCTTTCCATTCTTTTGAATATGGACAACTTGATGTCACAAAATTGATCTCTCATTGAAACTTTTTGATTGTATATGCTATTACTGTATATGTATATTTCACTTGTAAAGGGCATAATTGTAGAAATAAATCTATTTTACACTGTAGTTGGCAGTTTTCATCATAAAAGGTCTAATACAGTGTTGTATCCTTTTTGTCCTAAGGTGAGAGAGATTCTAAATTATAAGTCTGTACTGTACATTTTGTGATGTATTGAGGAATCAATTAAGACTTTTGCATTCAGGTATGGAGGGGGTCCTGCATTGTCGCGAAAAGTAATTAATTCTGGTCTTTCTCAGACAGAGTTTGCCGTGGAGGTTTATCCACTGCGTTTGCAACTTCTTGTGACACCCAAAGGTGATTGCTCAACTATAAGAATAAGTAAGAAGGTAAAATTTGAAACTTAATTATGAGGCATCTTTTATTTCAGCTGTGCTGCTCTCATTGTACTTATTTATAATAACTGATTTCTGAAGATTGAACTATTTTGAACAGGAAACAATAGGTGAGCTTCACCGGCGAGCATGCGAGATTTTTCATCTCAACATGGAACAAGTAATTTCAGATGCAAGATTATATCCTTCTCTTTTCTGTTCTCTTCAAATTCCTTTTTTCATTTCAAGTCATTTAATGTTTTTGTTTTCTTATATTTTCAGGTTTGTATCTGGGATTACTATGGTCATCGCAAGCATGCTTTGATGAATGACATGGATAAAACTCTTGATGATGTCAACATACAGATGGATCAGGACGTGGGTCCTTTTTGCTGCACCACTTATTTATCATTTTAAAACTAATGTGTCTGTTATGAAGAACCCAGTTAACCATCTGAAATTGGGTCCTGCATTTGATGATTCTTCCCATTGTACAATTGTAAAATGGATAAAATTTTGAGAAAAAATGTTTCATATATTTATTAATATGTTAGTTAAGATTTCTGTCAACTATGCTAAGAGCAAGAAGAAATCGTTTCAAAATCTTAGATTATCCTGCATATTACTACCCTTTAATGACACAGTATTATTTCTGAATCTGTGGGACAAGCATTCCTTTGCCATCTGTTGCCACTTGCTATATTTGTCTTTAGAAACTTTAGTCAAAATTTTCTTTATGTGAAATTTAGGTATTTAGATTGCAGTCAATGCAGGTGATGCTAGGAACATAAACTGAATTATTAAGTTTATCCTTGTCTTCGGGTTTTCTGGCTGATATTCTGTATGGTTGGTTAAGCTGGTCGATGGTTCTCAATGTGTACATACAGATAATTGAGAATCCTTAGTTGTTTCAATTAAGAGGCAAGTGAAGGAGAAAGTCTATTCTATTTTAGGTTATATTCAATCATTTTCTTGTATTAATTGTAGACCCTCCTCCGTCATCAGAGCATTGGATGTCTACTTACCAGGGAACCTGATTGCAAAAGCTTAGTAGGATTAATTTCTCTCTATAGTATGGAATAGATGGAAGGGAACTACAATAAGGATGTTTTAGGATGAATATGAATACCATGGTTGTACATCTTTTTTAGCTGCATTGAACTTAGAACCATAGACCACCATTATCCAGATCTTTACAATGAGGAGTTTAAAATTTCTTAGAATTGTTCAATAATTTTTGTCATTGTATCTCTAATATCAAGGATTTCTTTATGTGACCATTTCTGCTATGGTGTTTGTCTACATCCAAAGGTGGATAGCCTCCATTCTTGGTGTCCAGTGTCCACTATGTACTAGTTATTATCTACTTAAGATATGTCATATAGTTTTCAATGGTATAGAATCAAGTAATTATGTGTTAGTTATTTATTATAGGAAAGTGTCTTTTAACTTGACCATTAAAACATTTTCTTTTCTCTATATCCATGCAGAAATAATATGTATGCTCATACTTCTTTGACACATAAATATGCAGATACATATTGGATAGAGTAAGAAACGGATGTGCATTTGCGAATGGTTCTTGTTTTAGCATTATTACCCTTTTTTTGTTCTAACCTATTATTTTCTTGTCATAAATTTAAATAGGTTCTGGTGGAGGTCCTTAACAATGTTAATGATTCAGCATTAAGTGGTGGAACAAGTTGTCCAGACAATGGATTTGCAGATAAGGAAGCCACTTCTGCTCTTCTAGAGCCATCTAAATCAGGCTTATCAATCGCAGGAGGTCTGTCTGCGAATAAGATTGCATCCAGAAGTTATACTGCAGAGCAATTACAAAATCAAACCTTAGGTTATCATAGTAAAGAATCAGAAAACAATCTTGGGAACAGTGGTGTTATTACTAGGGGGGCTTTTGGTGGTTTAACTGGGCTGCTGAATCTAGGGAATACCTGCTTCATGAATAGTGCTATACAGTGTCTCGTTCATACACCAGAGTTCACTAGATACTTTCGGGAAGACTATCATCAAGAAATAAATTGGCAAAACCCTTTGGGCATGGTTGTAAGTTTCTAACCCTAAAAAATAGATGTGGCATGAGTAATCCTTTCATCGTTATGATTCTATGGAGACGTTCTAGTGTGTGACGTGTGAATACTATAGTATAATGCAGTGTTTCCTCCCCTTGATAAATTTTTGTGTATTATTATTTTTTATTTGGTACAATTATATATTGCGGATTGGCACTTTCAAACACACTGCTGGAATCTAATGTAAAACATGTCAAAAATTGGTTTAGTAAACACTTGTAAAACACTAAACTTCATTCATACTTGTTCAGTACTTGTACGAATGAGATGAGAATATTCTAATGGAATGACTATTTGGTGCCATACATTTATGTTTACCAGTTTATATGTTCTAATTATCTGCATAGTTTCTTTATGATCTGTGTTTAATATAGTTAAATGCACACACTCTTGTCAGAGTGTCTATGTTAGCATATAGAGCCATGTGCATTATCTAGATTGGTAGAAGTTTCAGAGTATTGACACGTGTGTCAATGCCATAAACTTTGCCATAGTACTTTATTGGTTGGTGTATTGCGTGTATATTTGCATAATATTTGTAGGTTGCTGTGGTCCAATTCTTTTAGCAATGCTAGCATTTTTCGTATGAGGACTGTGGTTCTAAATTGGATTCAATTCAGTCAAAGGCGTAACTTACTAAGAATGTGTAAAATGGACAAAAATGCATTTAAACATACACATAGTAATATAAGCTCAATGAGTTTGCGTGTTTATGTGCTTGCTATATCTATTAAGCTTAATTAAAATGCCCATTGATTTTTCTATTGTCTAATTGTAATTTGTCATAAAGATCAAGCATTATCCCAAGACATTATTGGTCTCTAGCCCTAGCTCTAGTTTTCCTTCATTTCCTACATGGGTATTCTTTCATGTCTTTCTTTTTGTAGTTTGATTCTGACGTTCTAGAAAATGCACTTAGTTTGCTGCTGAGAGGTGCCTTTTCCTATTCAATTGGTTGCTCTTTGCATGTAAGGCTTGTACCTTTCTATTGATCATGACACTTATTGTTGATTATTGAGTGAACCATGCTTGATTCTGTGGTTTATTCTAATGTGGTTATTTCTGGTTGATAATGATCAGTTTGTGCTGAAATGAACATGGCACATCTTTGTAGGCAATTAACCCAACTGATCAATACTATTTCTTTGTATACTGCTTGCAGAGATAGTGTGTGGTAGCTTTTGAAGTGTTATTCTAAGATTAAAATATGATTATCTTTGTTTTATGAACTCTTTTCCTTTTATGGGCTATCCACTGAAAAGAAGATCGATTGTAATTTTTTATGAAAATGCATACTTTTTTATTATTCCGCTCTTTATCACATAGGATAGAAGGTAGTATTTAGGTATGATAGTGGAATATTGGTGCACTATCATTTTGCAGATGTGTTTAAACCTTGGTGTTACTGGACTTTTTGTTATTCAAATCTCATGCATTATTGTAAGAGTTTAACTTGGTTGAATAACTAACATGTTAAGGTGTGTTCTTGTGTAGGGGGAGCTTGCTCTGGCTTTTGGTGAGTTGCTGAGAAAACTGTGGGCACCTGGGCGAACGCCAGTTGCCCCTCGGCCTTTTAAAGCAAAGCTTGCTCGTTTTGCACCACAATTTAGTGGATACAATCAACATGACTCCCAGGTTGTATTTGACATTAAGATCTTGCCAGACCATGCTTTGCCTATAGTACTTCAAGCTTTTCAGTTTAATGTTATTTTTCCCCAGGAGCTTTTAGCATTTCTGCTTGATGGTCTTCATGAAGATCTGAATCGTGTCAAACACAAACCGTATATAAACTCCAGAGATGCAGATGGCCGTCCAGATGAAGAAGTTGCTGATGAGTATTGGGCAAATCATATTGCTCGTAATGATTCGATAATTGTTGATGTGTGCCAGGTAAGAAACATGTCTTCTACATTTTAATGTTGAGCTGCCTAACAGTTGTGGTGGTGTCTTGCATGTTAATAGTAAATTTCATAACTTGGACGATTAACTGGAGATTTAAGACAACATTTTCTTTAGTATTTACATAGTTTCCCTTGAAGAGGATGTATAATGATTCGAGATGGAATTTGTGTCGAGGACATTCTGAACTGTACTTTTAATCTCTTTATTGGGAATGTTTAGTTGTAAAGCTTATTGGCATTGACATCCTGCTAAACTTCTGGTAAAAGTAACTTAGAAGAATTGGAGGTTTCCCCCAACAAAATTGACTTCAAGATAAGAATTCTAAAATGAAACATGTGAATGGTATATTATAGTGAGCCTTATTATTTCTCTTAAATTTTATAAGATGGTTATTATTTGCTTGATAAATGTAAGAGCTAAAAACCTTCCAATCCCACAACGCCTCTAACCCAATCAACAACCCCATAGAATGATCGTAAATTTTTTCTTATTTATACCTTGAAAGTGCTGAAGTTTAGTGTTCAAATGCAGTTCTTAAGCTTTGAAGAAATGGAATTGATAAAACCAAACCTTCTAGATTGTTTTTTATTGAAAATGATATTTCTTTTTATGCCAGTTTACAAGAATGTCTACATTTTTTTCTTTGTCCTGTATCTAAATATCTAATAGTTTATGTGGTTCATGACTTCATTTATAGTATATTTACTTCCAGAGCACTGATGATGTGTAACATTGAATCATTTAGAAGACCAGAAGAACAGTTATCAAGGTTGCACGTATTAAATGTATACTGATTTCAAATTTATCATTGCAATGCTTACATGCATTCTGAAGTTCCAACATTAAAGAATGGTGCAAGTTACCCCCAAAAAAAAACCCAAGTTGATGTGCGATAGCTTGGTATTAGGGAGTGAGGTCTGTTTTTAGGGTTACTTGAGGATAATCAGGTGAGCAATTCCCTGAATAATTAGGGTTCACACTGATTTGAAGCTAAGTAAAGAAATCTAGGATCTAGATAGCCACTTAGAGTGCCTCTCAATGTTTCATTTTTAAGAATGATATCATTTCCAATTAGGAATTCAAAATTCGAAATGCAATTACCTGGTTTGACTTAAAAATAGGAAAAATCAGAGAATGCTACAGTTGAAGTTCGTCTTCTCGACTCAAATTTCTCAAATGCTTCATTTTTCAATCAACAATGTATTATGGGATATGACCAAAAAGAAAGGAATACACAGAGAGAAACTAACAAATTGCTGGGTTTCAACATCCTATTACATTTTAGGTCACCATCAATTTTCATTATTGATGCTGCCTTCTTTGCTATCTATCAACTTGTGTAACACTAAATTTTTTACCTCTCTTTCTATCCATTATGTCTGGTGATGTTTCTAGTAAATCTTGTCCTATCTCTATCTCTATCTCTTTTCTCTCCTGGTTTGCTTTTCTACGCCACCTTCCCTTTTCTTGCAGATTTGCAATCTTAAGCAATGCTTTTCTGTTTATCTTAATTTTTTGATCAAAAGAGTTTTGAACTTTTGGCTTGACCAAAGCTAAAGTGTGGAGGCTAGAGAAATAGATGTCGTGGGAGAGGATGATTTGGTGGATGTATTATGTGCAATGTTGTAAAAACGGGACCATTTCAACTGCAAACCAGGGTTCAACAGTTCAACTGCAAACCAGGGTTCAACAGTTCAACTGCAAACCAGGGTTCAACAGTTCAACTGCAATACCTAACCTGATATTTTAAGAACTGTTACGATGAATCGAAATTTGGGTAGAAAACTGCCTGAACCGGATATTTTTTATTTGTCTGCTTGCTTCGAACAATCTCTCTCTTTCCCTCTCACTGCTGTTATCGTCATCAATACACATCTTCTCAACTGTCAAAAAGTGGAGATGAAGCAACAACATATCTGAAGAAAAGAATTTGAAAGATGTTGGGTTTGGATTCCTAGAAGAGAAGATTTAAAATATTTCAAAGAAAAAATGAAAAATGTTTTGAGAGGAAAGGATCGGGAAGAGAAGGAGATTTGAAATATTTGAAAGAAGAAAAATGAAACATGATTTAAAGAGAAAAGTGAGTTAAGGGTAAAGGGTCTGGAAGAGAAGATGATTTGAAATATTTGAAACAATAAAAGCCCAAACTTTTTGTGGGAGATTATTGGAGAAAGGCTGATGTCATTTTAGTATGGAAAGAGACAAGTCGAGACTGGGGAAGATTTTTTACCTTTTATTATTTCAAATTTGAACTGCCAGTTCAACCGGAAACCAGAGATCTGACCGGTTGGATGTTTGGTCTAGTTTTTACAACATTAATGATATGTAGTTGAATGGGGATGGGATTCTATAGTGGTCTTAGCAGTGATTGCAGTTTTATTTTAGAAGACCACGAGATTGGAAAAATGATGAAGCATATTAAAAATTATTTGCATGACTGTGATTTAAATGCTGAATTTTTTGTTGCTTAATTTTAAAATACTATGGATGTCATATACTGAATGCTTTTATGCGGAAACAACCTTGGGTTTTAGTTATGATGTCAGATCTAACTTCTTAGGGAAGTTGCAGAAAATTGAATAAACGGAAGAAAAGAGAAATTCTAGGCTGCAAACTTTATGTTTCCTTGCAATTTACACTGAAAGTTTATTGCTTCATACAATTACAAGAACCCCAGTGCTGGAAATCCCCAACTAGAAGTTGTCTCGCAATGGAAATACTACAGTGATGCATTGACCCCTAGTGCTTATGGTCCACTAAGGACTTTAGTAGATAAGACTTCAATTTTAATAGACATGATTGCGTATTTATCTTCTATAAAATATTAAGGGTTTTTGTTTCTTTTCTGATAGAGTGACTTTTTATTGATCATAATTGTTGTTCCATCTGCTATTACTTTGTTACTGATTTTACATTAATGTTTAGTAAGAATGGGTGAATGCCATAAAAGCTATGTGAATTCTTTCCTATTCAACTCAATAAATTTTCTAGTCTTATGGTTATCATATTTAAAAAGAATAAGCTAAACATCTATAAAATGTATTGTAGTATTCATTGTTATCGTCATTATGATGCATCTAATCAATTGTCTACTCCATTGTGTAGGGTCAATATAAATCAACACTTGTTTGTCCAGTGTGCAATAAAGTTTCTGTAACATTTGATCCCTTCATGTACCTCTCCTTGCCATTGCAATTCACCACCACTCGGTCTATGACAATATCAATTTTTGCTTATGATGGAAGTGCTTTGCCATCAACATGCACTGTCACTGTTCCAAAGCAGGGGCGTTACAGGGACCTGATCCAAGCAGCTAGCAATGCTTGTTCCTTGAAGCAGACTGAGGAGATTAAGCTTGTCGAGGCATGTGCTGTTTAACGTTTTGATTTTCTGTCATGGATTTGTACATGTGTTAAAATTTTCCTAAGCTGCTTGAAATGATTTCTTGCAGGTACGGAATCATTTGATTCATAGGTTTTTAGATGATTCTCTTATGTCATTGTCCACAATCAAAGATGATGACCATCTTGCTGCATACAAGATTCAAAAGTCAGCAAAGAGCAATGTTTTGGTTCAGTTGATACATCGCCGTCAAGAACAGTATGTACCATTTGCTTAGTCTCATACTAATCTTTACATAACAATGTTTGAATGCAAGCATGGCACCATAAGGTTTACCCTGAGCTTCCACTTGAACTTGAAGTTCATTTATTTAGTTATTTTCACTGCTGGATTGACATCTTTGGCAGTTGACTTCAATGCTATTATGGCTGTAGCTTCTTTTCCTATTTAAATAGATTTATCATGCCTGATTAGATTTGTTATTCAACGGTTCTCTTTCTCTCTCTAACACATGCACACATGATAATTTTGCATTGAATTAAATAATTCTAGACTAATTACATGATGAGAGTTGCTATGCTGCTGCTTTAAAATTAACTCTTTGTGAAGCTTAAAGAGTTCCTTTGTATTGAGTTGTTTCTAAAGTGATAATTCATTTTATTTTTGTATAGAGAATCTAGTGATGCTCAAAGATGGAAACCTTTTGGAACTCCTCTTGTTTCATCTCTTTCATGTGATGACGTGATTAGAAGTGGTGATATCCAGACAATTGTACAGACGATGCTTACTCCGTTGCTGAAAGAGGGTATAGAGCATTCCGATGGTTCAGATCCAAATGCCTCAGGCATGTCAACGGATCCATTTGATCATGGTTCTGGTGAAGCCGATACTAACTGTGCATCAACTTCTACAAATAAGGTCTTACTGAAACTGCCACTACAGTTGATCGATGAAAGTAAGACATGTATTGACCTGTCTTCTGGAGACGAGAAAATATTAATGTGTCAGCCATGTCACCTATAGTAGTGTATCTTGATTGGTCATCAAAGCTTTTGGAGAAGTATAATATAAATTATCTGGAAAACTTGCCTGAAGTGTTTAAATTTGGGCCTATTACCAAGAAAGCTCGTACTGAACCTCTTTCTTTGTATTCCTGCCTGGAGGCTTTTTTACGAGAGGAGCCATTGGTGCCAGAGGATATGTGGTTAGTTTCTCTCTTTCACGTAGTGAAGTGTTCTTGTCTCATTGTTTGTTTACATTAATGAATACTTTGTGCACAAATGACTTGGACTTGTGCCTTTTTCATGATCCTTTGGTGTTTAGTCTTTATCCTTACCAGTTTGTTCAATTATGGGTTCCTAAGTGGCTATAGGTACTAGTTAAAGACTATTTAACTACCATTTTAGTAAATTCTTTGTAGTGTCGTCAAGGTGTGAGCACAGGGGCTAGCACCTTTTTTGCACAAATTAGCTCACAAATTAGAATTTATCATATATCTTATATGTTACACACATTAGCTCACGCATATACACTTGGGCTAGCACCTTTTTTGCACTATACGACTTTACTCGAGGCAAATATATAAGGGTGTAGTGACCAGAGTGCACCGCACTCCCTTGCCAACATTAATCTTTGTGATAAGTACATAATCTATAACTTTTACCAAAGTTAGTGTCGAGAATATCTAAATTAAATATTAGATAGGATCAGTTTTAATTAGATAGAATCAGTTTTTATTCTATTAGTTATTAGATAGGATCATTTTTAATTAGATAGAATCAGTTTTTTATTCTATTAGTTATTAGATATGATCATTTTTAATTAGATAAAATCATTTTTATTCTGTTGCTAATTTTATGCATCTTTTTATGTAAAGTTGTTACATTGTAAACTCTATTTAAGTCAGCCATATTCAGCAGAAATAAAACACGATTTATTCGGAACAAGTTTTTCCGTCTTTATGGTGTCAGAGCCAAAATGGCCAAACCCTACGATGATACCTCTGGTATCGACTCTATGAGTTTTACTCGCTCACCTTCAATCACCCTAAACACTGAATCCTTCCAAAACATATCCATCACTTCTCACAAGTTGAATGGAAATAATTTCTTAAAGTGGTCACAATCTGTGAAACTGTTTATTCGTGGCCGTGGAAAATTCGGCTATCTCTCAGGTACCACTACGAAACCTGCCGAAGAAGATGAAGAATCTGAAAGATGGGAGGCAGAAAACTCGATGATTATGTCTTGGCTCATAAATTCCATGGATCCGAGTGTAGGGAGAACTTATCTCTTCCTACCTACTGCTCATGACATTTGGAATGCCGTGAACGAGACCTATTCTGATCTCGGGAACGCAGGACAATGGTTTGAACTAAAAACTCGGTTATGGAGGCTAAAACAAGGAGAAAAAACTGTCACTCAATACTATACTGAACTCAAGACCTTGTGGCAAGAGGTTAACATGTTCAGCGACTACGAATGGAGTTGTGCTAAGGATAGGGCTCTATTCCAGAAGATGGTGGAAAAAGAACGCGTCTTCGAATTCCTTGTCGGCCTTAACAAGGAATTGGATGAAGTCAGAGGGCGCATTCTTGGTCGTGAACCACTACCAAGCACAAGAGAAGTCTTCTCCGAAGTCAGACGAGAGGAGAGCCGGCGGACAGTCATGCTTGGAGGCCACTCACCAAATCCCACCGAGTCTTCTGCCTTGTTCTCGGGTCAGCCACCACGTCGCAACGATCGTCGGAACGACAGAGATCGGCCAATCTGCGAGCACTGCAACAAGCCGGGACACACTAAAGCCAAGTGTTGGAAGCTACACGGGAAGCCAACCGAGAATTTTTTCAGCCAATCGAAATTCTCGTAATGCAAAGGGATTCCATGCCTCATCTGAAGATGCTTCTGAAGAGCAGAAACCTGCCTCAGAACTGTCTGCCTTCAGCAAAGAACAGCTAGAGCAATTGTATCAACTAATGAGTTCTCATTCCATATCCAACACTCCTAACCCATCATCTTATATTGCCTCTTCATCATTAGCCCAGAAAGATACATATCCTACAGCTTTCATAACCGGTTCTAAATCAAACCCTTGGATCATAGATTCAGGGGCAACAGATCACATGACCGGTAATTCCTCCATATTCTCATCTTATTTTTCCTTTATCTGGTAATCTGAAGGTAAAAATTGCTGATGGCTCCCTAACCTCTATAGCTGGAAAAGGCTCTATCATTATTTCTCCATCTCTCACATTACTAAATGTCCTACATGTCCCAAAGCTCTCTTGCAATCTCATCTCTGTTAATCGTATTATTCATGATTGCAAATGCATTGCTACAATAACATTTGCTGGATTTGAATTTCAGGACCCTTGTTCGGGGAAGATGATTGGCAATGCTAAGGAGGTTGATGGACTCTATCACTTGGTCACGGACAATCCTTCAGATAAACAAGTTCAGAAACCGAGATGCTTTACTACCTTGTCTTGTGAGAATGAAATAATGTTGTGGCATTATAGGTTAGGCCATCCTAGTTTTAATTACTTGAAATATTTGTTTCCAAATCTTTTAAAAAAAAAAAGACGATTTTTCTTTTCAGTGTGAAGCTTGTGAATTGGCAAAATATCATAGATTTGTTTATCCATCTTTAAAGTATATGCCATCAAAACCTTTTTCTCTTGTGCATAGTGATATTTGGGGCCCTTCACGAGTAAAAACAGTCTCAGGATCTAGATGGTTCATCACATTCATTGATGATCACACTAGAGTCACGTGGATTTATTTACTAAAAGAAAAATCCGAGGCAGCAAGTGTTTTCAAAAATTTTCACTCACTGATCAATACTCAGTTTCAAGCAAATATTCAAGTTCTTAGAACCGATAATGGTCGAGAATATTTTAATGCAATCTTAGGTGATTTTTTGAAACAAAAAGGAATTATTCATCACAGTTCTTGCGTTGATACTCTCCAACAAAATGGAGTTGCTGAAAGAAAAAAATAGGCTTTTATTAGAGGTGATTAGGGCTTTACTGTTTGCTATGAATGTTCCTAATCGTTTTTTGGAATGAAGCACTCTTAACAGCGTCTTATTTGATAAATCGAATGCCTACAAGAGTTCTTAATTATATTACTCCTTTGCAAGCTCTAAAGAATATGTTTCCTGAAAATAGATCTTTCACTGATTTAACACATAAAATTTTTGGTTGCATTGTTTTTGTTCATATACACGGCCAAAATAGAGGAAAACTCGATCCCCGAGCACATAAATGCATATTTCTAGGTTTTTCACCAACACAAAAAGGGTATAAATGCTTTGATCCTAAATCTGGGAAGTATTATGTGAGTATAGATGTCACGTTTTTTTGAAAAACAACATTTTTTTGACAAAAACTCTCTTCCAGGGGAGAATGACTCTGAAATGAGTTTTTGGGAACAAACATCCTTGCCAAAATCGGTTGTAAATAGCTTAGTGGAACCAATTCATATTTCCGTAACTAATCCTAGGATTTCACAACCTATAAATTCACAACCTCCTGAGACTCAGGTAGAAACCAACTTGGAACCACCTATTGAACTTCGTGTTTATTCTAGACGGATGACTCGACCAAGTAATGTTCCACCGGCCCCCAAGGTATGCCAACCATCGGACTCTACTATGGTCCAAGGTACGACTTCTCTTTCTCCTATTTCTTCTCCAAATTTAGAGCCTTCTACAGAATTCTTTGAACCCATAGCCTTGCGCAAAGGTGTTAGATCATGTACCACAAAACATCCAATATCCAATTTCTTATCTTATAATAAACTCTCTCCAGATTTCAAAGCTTTTTCCACCAGGATTATGGATGATGCACTACCTAAGTCGATACATGAAGCTCTAGAAGTTCCGAGATGGAGAGAGGCAGTTTTTGAGGAGTTAAAGGCCCTGAAGAAGAATGACACGTGGGATCTAACTCCTTTACCTGAGGGGAAACGATCTGTAGGCAGCAAGTGGGTGTTCACCATCAAATACCATGCAGATGGCTCGGTCGAGAGATACAAGGCAAGACTCGTAGCAAGAGGCTTCACTCAGACATACGGCCTTGACTACGAGGAGACCTTCGCACCTGTGGCCAAACTAAACACCGTACGTGTCCTACTCTCACTAGCCGCCAATCTGGATTGAACTCTCAGACAGTTTGATGTGAAGAATGCGTTTCTAAACGGTGAGCTAGAGGAAGAGGTGTTTATGGAAGTTCCTCCAGGCTTTGATGAATTGAAGAAGGATGGCAGGGTCTGCAAGCTAAAGAAATCCATTTATGGATTGAAACAATCTCCGAGAGCCTGGTTCGAGAGATTCACGAGAGCTGTGAAACAACATGGTTACACTCAGGCCCAGTCTGATCATACTATGTTCTACAAACACAATAATGGTAAAATTGCTATTTTAATTGTGTATGTAGATGACATTGTTATGACAGGAGATGACACAGTAGAGTTAGAGTCGTTGAAGAACTTATCCAACCAGTTTGAAGTCAAGGATCTAGGACAACTCAAATATTTCCTTGGAATGGAGGTGGCTAGATCCTCAAAAGGTATAATTATCTCGCAAAGGAAATATGTCCTCGATATCTTGAAAGAGACCGGATTACTCGGATGTAAACCAGTGGCGACTCCTATTGATCCGAATCAAAAACTCGAAAAAGAAGATGATGCTGAGCCTGCGGACAAGAATCGGTATCAGAAGCTGGTGGGGAAACTGATTTATTTGGCTCATACGAGACCAGATATTGCATTTGCTGTGAGCTTGGTTAGTCAGTTTATGCATTGTCCCTCAGAAAAACACTCCAAGGCTGTTTACCGGATTCTTCATTACTTGAAAGGTAGTTCTGGTAAAGGAATCATGTTTTCGAAGAATGGAAGTCGAAGAGTGGAGATCTTCACTGATGCTGATTGGGGCGGAAGTTCTACAGACAGAAGATCTACTACCGGTTATTGCTCCTTTGTCTGGGGCAACTTAGTTACTTGGAGGAGCAAGAAGCAACCAGTTGTCTCTAGAAGCAGTGCGGAGGCCGAGTTCAGAGCCATGGCGCAAGGAGTATGTGAGTTGTTATGGCTTAGGAGGATCTTGGAGGAGCTGAAAGTTGAAGGAGATAAACCGATGAAGTTGTATTGCGACAACAAATCGGCAATCAGTATTGCTCAGAATCCTGTACAGCATGACAGGACCAAACATGTCGAAATAGATCGACATTTCATCAAGGAGAGGCTGGAAAATGGCGATATCTGCATACCGTTTGTTCCATCAGAGCAGCTCGCCGATATTCTCACCAAGGGACTGTTTACTACGATGTTCGAAGGATTTTTGTCCAAGATGGGAATGATCGATATCTATTCTCCAGCTTGAGGGGGGGTGTCGAGAATATCTAAATTAAATATTAGATAGGATCAGTTTTAATTAGATAGAATCAGTTTTTATTCTATTAGTTATTAGATAGGATCATTTTTAATTAGATAGAATCAGTTTTTTATTCTATTAGTTATTAGATAAGATCATTTTTAATTAGATAAAATCATTTTTATTCTGTTGCTAATTTTATGTATCTTTTTATGTAAAGTTGTTACATTGTAAACTCTATTTAAGTCAGCCATATTCAGCAGAAATAAAACACGATTTATTCGGAACAAGTTTTTCCGTCTTTAGTTAGTTTTTCTTTTATTCTACTGATATTTTTTTTCTCTTTTCTTAAATGCATCTTTTTTTTTGATAGAATTCTTAAATGCATCTTAACCAATGCCACTAGGCACGGGTTAACTTATTTTTCTTCTTAAGTTTAATTATAGAAAAAAATACTTCTTACTTTCCAAAAGAAACACAACATTTTCTCCATCAAGTTTTCTCAAGGGTGCAAGGCCACACAAGGCGCTAGGACCTTTATACTGCCTCAAGCAGAAGGCGCTAGCCTGAAGTAAAGCGCAATATGTAAATGTGAGTTCTTGTATGTGTTGTGCGTGTATAAAGCTTAAGGCTTATAATAAACTCTAAAGTTTGGGCATGTTTATATAAAAACATGCAATTTCCTTGCTAGTCAATATGCATGATTCCCTTAAAGGGCCTGAATTGAATTATTAAATTTTGAGAGGCTCAAAAATGCAACGTCTCCATTTTAGCACATCTTACGACTTTGAAAGCTTGGAATGTTTTCAGATTACTAGATTCATATTTACTTCTTGGTAACCGTTAACGCCATAGTTAAAATGACTTGAGCAATTACTTATTGTTTTCTTGACAGTTTTAACAATTTTCTGTGCTAAATTTGTGTTTAAGAAAAAATGAAAAAGTTCTATTTCGTCAACATTGTGAATTATCAGTTTTTTCTTGGTGTAGGTACTGCCCGCAATGCAAGGAACAACGACAAGCAAGTAAAAAGCTTGATTTATGGAGGCTTCCTGAAGTTCTAGTCATTCATCTAAAAAGATTCTCGTACAGCCGGGCAATGAAGCATAAAGTAGAAACTTTTGTCAACTTCCCTATTCACGATTTTAACCTAACAAATTATGTAGCTGACAAGAGAAGTTCCCGTTCTCAGCTCTACGAACTCTATGCCTTAACCAACCATTATGGTGGCATGGGCAGTGGCCACTACACCGCACACATCAAAGTAAGTTAGAACCATCTATGTCCTACCGAAATCGAATATGCACATTGTTACGTATTTATTTTCTAGGGCTGGGGACTTGGACATGAATGCTGCATCTGTTTCAATTTTTATGACTTTTCAGTCAAGACCAGTTATTTTCCTTATCTTTCTTCTGGCTCATCTTTCATCACGTTCGGGTCCTTTTAAATGGACCTTAGATTTCTATTGGGACGCAGATTTTATATAGTTTTGACTTGGGTGCGTCGGATAGGATATTTGTCCGTTTTAGGTGTGTTCAATCTTTTCTAGTTTTTCATGTATTTGGAGGATCCTTATGGGTCATATAATTAAAGAAGAGAAATGAAAAGTCGGAACAACATAGCCCCGATAGTTACAAATGGCTTGTATTGATGCATTAGATATGCATCTCATCATACTGTTTTCGGCTGATTTTGTTCTTTGCAGCTTCTAGACGAGAATAGGTGGTACAACTTTGACGACAGCCATATATCACCAATAAACGAAGAAGATGTAAAGTCGGCTGCTGCGTATGTTCTGTTCTATCGAAGGGCAAAGTCTGATACCTCAGGCAGTGGTGTTGCAGGGTCTCGTAGAGACCGTGACAAAACATCTTATAAGCATTGAAGTGCAGGTACTTGCTTTAAAGCTATTCGCTGCCATGCATGCAAGTTCAAGACTGTAGAGTGCTAATCCACAGGTAGTTGTGAGATTTGTCTCTACAAAATATTTAGTGATTCGCTCCATGTGCTGCTTAACATTCGCTAACCTATTGCCTGGACAAAACATTGTGTCGAGAGTTATATTAGATCGAAAATTAGACACTCGAATTTCGTTCGATCATTGTCTAGTTGAAACTATGAGCATCTTAACACCCGGCTCGAGTGGCTGGCAGCCAAATCGAGTATTTTTCAATATTTGTTTTTATTATTTTTAGTAATGGAAAATCGCAATTTGAATATGAACTGGAATAATTGTGTAAAGGGTAACATGAGATATCTTTGCTCCCAATCTATATGAGAAAAACTCAAATTATGCTTGGCATATCTAGTCAAAACTCGAGCTTTTTTTTTTATATAAAAAATTTGGGTAAATATATATATTTTAATATTTGAACTTGGTTTAAAGTTGCTATTCAGTTCAAATATTTTTAGGTTCAATTAGGTACTTGTATTTGAATTTAAGGTTCAATTTGGTTTTTGGTTTAAGGGTAAATTTTGTTAATGTAGTAGATCAAATGTATCATTTTCGCCTTTTATCATATTTTTGCATCAATTTAGCCTTTAAAGGTATTTAATTGTATCATTCTATGTCATTCTTCTAACTTAAAGCTCTAAATTATAAATCCCAAGTGTTTAGAGGTAATAGGGTTATGGTTTAGTGTTTAAGATTATAATCTAGGGTTTAAAGTTAGGGGTAGAGTTATGAAATGATGCAATTGAGTAACTTCAAGGGTTAAATTGATGCGAAAATACAATAGAGACGAAAATAATAAATTGAGTTTATTACATGGGCAAAAGTTATCATTTTGTCTCGTTTTTTTGTCTAGCTAGGAATTTAAACTTGATTTTTAAGTTCAAATTATACTTAAATTTGGTTGAATGATTTAAGTAAGCCATTTAAAATAACAAGTTCAAAGGTATAATTGGGTAAAAAAAAGCTTTAGGCACCATTTTTTTTAAATGAACAATAGAGCAAAAAACCTTAGTCTGTAACCAACGAAAAAACTCTTTAGTACTTAAAATGTTTAACATATATATCAAAGGTAAAATAGTATTTTAACAATTTAATACTTGCAATATCGTGGTATAAGTTTAGGTTGCGAAAAGCAAAAATAGTAAGTCCTCAAGTCATTTATTTGTCTAATAAAATTATTTATTAAAAAAATAATAGTACCGCGCACTAAAACTACTTGTTATGATGTGTAAATAAAAAGATGTCCTCTACGGTCCATATTAAAGCTTCGCCAAAAGCTTTAATTTAAAACATTAAGAAAATCTTGAGTGGGAACACCATCAGATTAGCTGGAATTGCTCGGTTCGTTACTGCATGGGGCTGTTAACCACAAGGCCAGAGGTTCAAGGCCCTCCTCCTCTGTTAGCTCATTTGGTTAGAGCATCATGCTAATAAGGCGAAGGTGTTTGAAACCTGCATGGGCCATTTGTATTATTATTATTTCTTTTTTACATTTTTTCCAAACTCACATTACTCGGTTTCTTTTTCCTGAACAGGGAGGCCAACCCAAGGCAAAATGATTCAAACTAACGAAGCATGTAGGAGTGAAGCAACAATTAGAGTTCATGAGCTAGGACAAATGGTGTCGGCTGCAGCAATTAAGTTAAAGAAACTGCCAATCAAGTTCAACTACGGCTTGCTGGAGGAACTGTCGTTGTATAACAATACACCCACAGATAGTTCAGAGGAACGTTTTTGTATAACAATACATGGACCTATGGCTATAGGTGATTAATGAACAACATGACTACTTCACGATGGAGTTTCATCGTTGGTTTGTTATCAAGGTGTGCAATCATCATCTTCTTCTTCTCCGGTGATGGTACATGCTAGTAAATTTTCTGTAGAGAGTTTGTTGGTTCTTCGTGCGACTAAATGTCCGAGCTGGGTTCAGTGGTTAAAACCAACTCCATCGACTTGTTTACTATTTTAAGTTATGACAAATCTAAATTTCTAAATTATATAACTATTTACGAGAAATTTCTTTCCATACGTGAATATTAATCATTAAATATAAGTTCTGTTGTAGGTTTTCAGTTTCTTTAAACGGTGTTACTAGATCATGGATTTGACCAACATGACATTGAAACTATATTTGGTCATCGGGAAAGGCTGGCTTTTCACCTATCACGCGTATGCAATGGGTAGAATGGAGGCTATATGGGCTGTGTTTTACTCTTAGGATTAAAGGTGGGTTACCTGTTAGGGTAAGAGAAAGATAATACTTTTATTTTTTGCTTTATAAAGAATGGATAGCCCGTTTGGATCAAGGATTTTATCATTCCCAGTAGGCATATTTTTTTCCTGATTAAGGATACCCATGTTTGGTTGGGTAAGATTCTCAAGTGAGTGTAATATTTCAATACCAACAGTAAATTTTGGTGTTTTATTCCTGAGAATGTTATTCCCACATGTGTGTTAGGTATTATTTTATTCCCGTGCTAAGGGCTATAATACCATTCTTTTCCCCGTGAGCTTGCCTCTGCGCGATATCTTCTTCTCCCCCGTGAGCTTGCCTCTGCGAAAAATTCATTGTTTTCCCAGTGAGATTCTCCTGGTAAGATTTCTTCTCCACTCCCTTTCTTTTATTTTCCCAGCAATGAGAGAAACTTTACCTTGCCTCTGCGATATCTTTTTCTCCCTGCTAGCTTTCGTCTTGTGAAACCACCATTAGTCATTCTATCAAACTCGACTCCGAGCCCGTGAGTTATTGTTATCATTGTTGTTATATTTACAATTTTTTACTTGTTTATTTTTTCTAGAAAAATAGTTTCGTGTAAGGGTTTATCTTAATCTAGTACTGTTTGGTCTAACCTATTTTTCTAGGAAAATGCTTTCGGGTTAGGGTTCTTAAGGTTTTGGTTGCTTTTTGATTGTAAATTAGTGTAGTCGATTTAAGTTAACATCGATTGATAGTTTCCTTATAGTTATAGTTGCTGTTTTACTTGGATCCATTATTCCAGAATTTGGTGCAACACTTCTCATTTAGATTTTGAAATTGAAGAGACTGACGATAATCACTAGTAGCTGGTAATTTTTTAAAAACCTAGTTAGATATAGATCATCCGACAGTATATCAATAACATAGCTTATAAAAGCATTAAAACATTATACATCTCAAGCCAAACTTTAGTTACAGGAAGCTGCAGTAGAACACAAGGCTTAGATACTAATTGCATTCTATTTATGGATACTTATCGAACTTGATACCTGTAACAAGTATAACAAGAAAAACGACAAAGAAAATGCTAACCCCATCATACCTGCAACACTTCTATTCTTACAATATTTCCTACAGTTTAGAAATTCGATATGTTTCGGGAATATTGTACGTAATTCAACAAAAAGTGTTAGTTTGATCATGTTTCTGACTAGTTTCTAGCTTTATTTAAGTTAAATTGATTCAAATATAGTTGATTTCAAGACATCTGATTCTCAGAGTAGATAAGCAAAGCCTGCCTCTATGGAATAAATACTCCGCTACATAATCATATATATATACATGACACATAAGCTGTCAGATTGAGAGACTAGAAAGTATGTTGGGGAGGATGACTAGCATATGTTTCTCGGCCCGAGTCGTTTAAAGTTTCAAATCTATAGAGTCTTGTTAAACTTTTAATTTCAATGGATGAAACTCTAGGCCAAATTCCTACAAGGAACAGTGGTTCGGTTATGCCTGATCCGACATTTTCAATTTTAATAATGTGCTTGTTTCTTTTTGCTTCCTCTATTAAGTTTGGTTGTTGTATTGGACTGTTTGGCTGCTTCAATGGTTCTATTGATTGCTTCTTAACCTTGATTATTCCAAAAATATTATGATTCCAGTCCTTCACTCTCCTTGTGAATGTTTCTAAGTTCTCCAATATTTCTTTACTATCGTCCCAGTTCCGTTATAAGAAGTTCTCAAAGTCAGGATGATCAAGCCATACTGCTAGAAATCTAAATTATTCTTTCCTCGGCTTCGATACATGTTATCCAATTGCAAAATAATGAGGTTGTGGTATGACTTGATGCGGTCTAGATGAATTACTCTTGAGCAAGGGAAAACAATATTCCAATTAATATTCATGAGACAACAATCTAGCCTTTGCCATAAATTACCACGGCACCATGTGAATTTTTCGCCCTGGAAATGTACTTTTATTAGAGCATTGTCGGAAAAAAAATTATTAAAACTCTGGCTGCAGCCCCTATTATTTGCGCTGCCTCCATATATTTCAGTATGAGCATACAATAGAAATCTCCTCCTAGGATCCATGGCTCATTATTTGGTGGGTAGAGATTGGACAGAGTTTCCCATAGGTGTTTCTGGATGCTTACATTGGGACTAACATAAACAGCTGTGAAGTAAAGCCATTGGTCTGATCCGTTCGTTCTGAATTTACCGTGAATAAATTGATTGACAATCTGTAGGATTTCTACGTTGAAGGGTGTTTTCCAAATTAGCCATATCCCTCCACTATGTCTCTGAGCTTCGACTCTAAATGAATTTTCAAACCCAAAAGTTCCAATTATTTTATCTGCTCTACATCCACTAACGTGCGTCTCCATTAAAGCTACAAGGCTAGGTTCTTGTTCTTTAATAATCTCTTTGAAATGTCTGCGAAATTAAGGGTGACCTACCCCTGGAGTATTCCAGAACATTAGCTTACCCATATTTGATTAATTGCTGGGTGTTTTATGAATCTCACCCTCTACTTCCACCTTCAGCGAATTATCTATGTTTATATTTTTTGCAATATTCGAGTATAATGTTTCCAGATTCATAGTTTGGGAGGGATTTGCCTTTGTAGTTGTAGCAAGGATCAATCCGAAAGAAGGGGCACACTTGGAGCCTTATATTCACATGGTTTTCTGATTTTTAGACTCTGGTTTGTCCCTTGTTGCAATTGTTTTTGTCTTGTACCACATTTGGGAGTGAATCTATTTTTGTTTTCCAGTATTGAGTAAGTTGTATTGTTCCTTTTATCCATCTTCGGTTTGTGTTGTTGTATGGTTGCATGTGTATCGACTATAATGATAGGTTGCTTACTCGTGTTGTCGTTCGTTATAGCGCTTGGAGTATCTAGCCCACTTTCGGTGATCGGG